TTTTTTAGTTGAAACCACCAAGCAACATGAGGCAACATGTGTGTTCCGGGGGTTCAGCATGTGTCATCGAGTGTTTCTTGAACTTGCTGATAGCTCCATGGTCCAAAGCGCTTCAAGTTCGCCATTGGCACGGCTTGCCGCCCTACACGGTCCCATGAAAGAAACAGCAGGTGCTGTACCTTCATGTACCTTCCGAAATCCAGCCATTGCCTTGTTTAGTGCATTAAATTCAAGTCTTCGACCATGACAACATATAACAGATGCCAAAAACGATGCCAAAACGATCCAAACACGAGCTCTATCATTTGTCGCTTCAACGCTGAACATGTCGTCTTACGGGTCCTTCAGAAGTAACAACAGAGGTTGAAGAACCCTATAGACGATATCCCATAGGTACCCCCAGGTTACGGGTCCTATAAGGTCACTTAACCTCTCTTGGTATGTGCTGGTGCACACTTGGACAAGGAATCGCCGGAGGACAACCACACGACGCAGGAAAACCACGCGCAATTCGCTTGGGAACCAACCATCGCCGACGGCCCTTCGTTCCAACTCCGTCCTTTGTCTCCACCAAAGGACAAGTGGATCATTTCATGAGTCAAATACATGGTACACTCCCTGGAACCTACATGAAAGTGGATGCCATGGTCCTTTGCTCTACAAGCAGCTTCCATGTTAGTTCCAGAGAGTGTAGTAAGTTCTCCAATCCTCAAGAGATGAAGAGGGGATGCTCCCGTTTATACAGGAACGAAGAGTGCCTGAAAAAAAGGAAAAACTGATCGCTGGAACCCAGAAAGTCTTGCACTCCAACCATACATGCGTCGCGTTGTTGTGGGCGCCATCGAAGAACCCGCGGAGCACTACAGCACTTCGGTGCTCCACTTCACCTGGACGGTGCAGTACTTCGCGTCACGGCTTCCCCCCCCAGGCTGTCGGGAGAAAGCAGAGCACTTGGCACCGGAGCCCGACCCCGGCACGACGGCCGGGGCCGAGCGGGGCGACGAGTGAGACCAGCGACCGAGGTGTTTCAGCTCACAAGAGACACAGCAGTCTAGTTGGCTATGCTAGGTATGCCGGCCAAAGAAAGTCGTGGACTCATGCATTCAATGCATGTCTATGTGTTGATTTGAAAGAGCTTCTGTGGCAGCAAGTCACGGAACCCTCGCAACTTCCTACCGGTAGCCGTGCGGAAACACTTTTGAGATGTTTTCTCTGCCTTTTCGGTGACCCCAAAGCCTGCGACTTGCTACTAAAAACCGTCCAGCTGATCCTGGACTGTCGGTTTCATTCTGCAAAAATTCTCCTGAAAGACAAGGGGCTCTGTTTTTTGCCGGAATTTCTACCCACTCCTCCATGCCCAGTGACTGTGCTGTGCAGGTCTGTTCGCTCCTCATCCGTCTCCCTGCCGGCCGTTTACAGCGGCGCTTCCCGCGCAGCGCTTTGCTCGAGGAGGCCTGGGTCTGTGACATGCGCGGCCGTACGCAGCGGAGTCGACTGGTCTTCACTGCAATTCCTTGGAAAACAAAGCTGGAAAACCAATAACCAAAAACGAAGCCTCAGTAGAAACGATCAACATTTTGTAGCTTTAATTTTGCCGGTCGCTCATGTTCCAAAGAAGAGATCCAAAAAGAATCCCAGTTGACATTGTTCTTCAAAGTAGTTTGAGGTCACAAAAGGGCCTGCAAAAGGTCGCAAACAGGCCCCTATAGGCAGGTCACGAACTAAAGAAGCTGGGACACCACCAGTGGGATCCACCGCCAGTGTTTTCTGCGGGTTTGGACGGTGGCCATCGCTATTTGGTTGGAGGCCATCGCTGCTAGTAACAATCAAGAAGCTACTAGTAGCATCTAGTAGCAATGTATTAGTTCTGGTATGAGGAGATGTATGGACTTCTTCAGTGGCTCGGTCATCGCCTTGGTCAACAGCACCCTCAAAGCCCCGGAAGTGGAGCGAGGGAATGCGTTCGGACCATCTAGGACCTGTAGCATGGTCACCCGGTTAGGTTGGACAGAAGTAGAAATTTCTATATTGCTTGCAATGCACTCACATGTTCCTCAGAATACCGGCAGAGAACAGAATCTATGCTGATGCCAATGCTTTGAACAGGTGAAACCCATTTTTTGATCGTAGCACGGAGTCTGTGTGTGCTTGGTGCTCGTTGGTGCTTGTGTATGCTTGTGTCGCCAGGCTTGACGTAGAGACTTGATGCAGCTTTTGACCAGGGCTTGCTGGTTCCATGATCTGAGATGCCGGTTCGTTTGACAATGGTTCGATTGAAGCTGGCACCGTCCAAAAACCCAAAGTACTGATACCAGATGATACCAGGCACAAGCAGTTCCGATGACAAACTGCAAGGAGAATTGACTTTTCACTGCTTGGCGCTCCAACCAACTCCGGAGATTCGGCTGGGGCTCAAATTCAACCAATCCTGGCGACGGTTTGGTTCAACCCTTCCGCGTCCGTCCGAACGCTGGAACTGGGGGGTCCGACGGTGGACGGTCCAACAACGTCCGTCCGAACAGGTTCTGACATGGATTGAGTCCGAGCTCGGAGCCTGAGGAAACCAGTCGACTGGCTCCGGTCCAACTCCGTGGTTCCGGTCGACGCTTCGTCGAGTCCGAACGTCCGCCACGGTCCGGTCCAGCAAGGATGAGTGGCGGGGTTTGCATGGTTGCCATTGTTTCATGGTTGCCTATGCGGTATAAGATAACTTACCATGGTTTTAAATTGTTTAGCATAAGCATGTTTAAGTTAAGGATTTTTGAGACATCAAAAGAACCTGTTGCCGTCCAATCATGGCCTCCGTGGCCGTGGACTTCTTTTGAAATAGGTCAACCCGTTCACTCCTTTTCACACAATTGCCCATCCATGTCAATGTACGGAATTGTGATACCTACATCGAATCTACCCCATGAACATGGCCCTATGTAGGTATCTCTTCCAGGCTATGCGAACGGACTGCTCGTCGCCGGGTCTGCCGACCGGGACGAAGGATTCCACCGTCCGAACGAACTGGTAGAAGCCCATTGAAGATCTAGACATTTTGGGGATCACAAAAGACCACCATTTTGGGCTCCAAAACATGGGGTCAATATGGGTCGGTTTCAGGTTTTTAGGGATGGTTATAGGGATTTTTAAGGGGTATAAAACGGTATAGAGGTGACCGTACTGAAGGATGGCCATGTTGTTGAGGGACAACTGGAGGTGGACTGTCGTCTACCAGTTTGTCTCAGCTTTTGGACGAGAAAACACCGTCGCCGTTGAGTTTCATTGCTGGAACTTCCAGGCAGTTCTTTCGGATACTGGGTCGGTGTTCCTGAAGTCTGGTCTAAAAATCCCACATCCAGAGCCCGCCAGCAAAAGGCTACAGAGAGCCCCAATCCTTACTTCGCTGCAACGCGGAATTGCTAAGGCCAGAGGCCAAGGTGGAGAACGGCAACTTCCGCGTCGTCCAGAAATGGATGCTTGGTCGCAGAGATGGCCGCGTCGGTGGGAGGGGACGTGGGCTGGTGGCGCCATGGTGGGAGGTTTGATTTGGTGTTTGTTCAGTGGCTTTGAGCGATAGGCTCCGTGGCGAAGAACGATGTGGACACCTTCTGCATGCATGGTGAAGGGATGTAAAGAATTGAACTTGTTCCAGCTTGTATCTTGGATGGGTCAACCCAGGTGTCGCACGTGCGATTACCTTGTCGCACGAATTGAACTCGCACGCGTCGCGCACGGGATCATCGATCAGCAGATCGCAGATCGCATCTCACAGAGGCTGCCTCTTTAGGGGCTCAATGGTGACCTTCTTGTGGGGGTTGGCCGTGTTGCAGAAGGGGCACCAGGCGTTTGAGGTTTTTCAGAGACCCGCTTAGGAGCCTGATGGCATGGACCGCAAAACGATTTTCCTCGACCACCCAGTGGAAACGCATCAGCCTTGCGGGCAAGGACTCAAGTGGACTCCGTGTTTGATTGGACTCCGTGTTTGATTTTGTTTATTGTTCCCTTTTAGATTCTGCCCATGTTTTTGGGAGGATGCTTCTGCTGCTCCTGCTAGGGAAGCCTTTGATGGTCATTTGGCTGGTATCACACATGCCCAGCCATGACGAGAAACCTCTTCGCAGCTTCGCTTGCACCCTGCTAGGGAGGCAGCTCGATTTGGCGTGTTTAACGCCAGATGTCCGAGCCGCCAAGGTTGTCCGAGCCGCTGAGGTTGTCCGAGCCGCCGAGGTTGTCCGAGCCGCCGAGGTGGTCCGAGCCGCCGAGGTTGTCCGAGCCGCCGAGGTTGTCCGAGCCGCCAGGGTCCCCTTCTTTTGCTTGATCTTCTTGTTCGTTGCAAGACGAAGTCGCTTCGTTCGATGAAAGACCTTCGGAAACGAAGAGGTTTGGGAGAGGCTGCGAGGCTGCACCTTTTTGGGAGGTCCTATAGGAAGGTCCCAGGCACTGGTTCCGAAGATTCTTGAAAGGCTTTCTACAGACTAGCCACCTACAGGATATACCAGGTGTGACCAAAACGTTTAATTATTCAATTGGTACAACATTGAGTAACAACATGTAACAACTATAATAATTAAATGTAGTTTTATTTAACTTGTATTGTTATAAAGTACGTTGAAAATCCAAGTTATTTTTCTTGCTGAACTACCAAGGAACCCTCCACGGCCGAGTCCATCGGCCAACTCTCCGCGACCGGACCAGGCCGGGCCACTGCCGCGAGCTGGGCCCCGAAGAGGCGGGAAGAGCCGAATTCGGAACGCCGAAGAGCCGAGCGGCGGAGGTGAAGAAAAAGAACAACACCGACGCCCGGAAACGAAGAGGTTTAGATGAATATATAGATTAATATATATATAGCATAGAATTATGTAATTATATATTTTATATTATATAGTTAGTTTAGATAGCAGTTTAGATGGGTCACATAAGGGGGGGTTCACCCTTGGAACAGAGAGAAGTGTTTTCTCGCACCCAGAAACAAAACGGTGTTGTTGTTTGTATCCCCTCCTAGAAACAAAAGCTGCGGCCTCCTTGTTGTTTTGGGCCCCCCCCAGACACAAACCACCAGAACAACACCTCCAAAACACTGAACACGAACCAGCCCAGACCTTATGACCTGAAGCATAGTCCAACGATGTCCAGCGACGAAACCGAAACCAACCAGATTCCTGACCTTGCCCCCGACCGAAGTTCCAACATGTTACAACATTTGATACATATGTCGTTGGACGACGGTGTTTGTTTCTGCCTTGTTCTTGTTCTTGTTATTGCTGGTGTTATTGTTATTGTTATTGTTATGTTATTGTTATTGTTGTTGTTGTTGTTGTTCTTGTTGTTGTTGTTGGTGGTGTTCGTGTTCGTGTTTGTGTTTGTGTTCGTGTTCTTGTTCTTCTTGTTGTTGTTCTTCTTGTTCTTGTTCTTCTTGTTCTTCTTGTTGTTGTTGTTGTTGTTATTGTTATTGTTCCTGTTGCTGTTTCTGTTCCACCATGTATGTTGGGTAGAGGATATTATTTATTCGTGTCATAGGGTTTGTTCCACTGGCGAGATGGGACCAGGATTCTTGTTTGTGAAGAATTTGTGTCAATCTGGCTTCAGTGCTTAGCCGGGTTGGCCGGCTGGATTTGGTCAACATCCTGCATTGTCCGACGCCCCAAACATGAGCAGACTATTGCCCCCAGGTGCTTAATTTTTGTATAATGTGTTGATCCACACCCATGTCACCATCTTTGCCATCGCGCCATGGTTCTGAGTCTTAGCCGCTAAGAAGCATCAGACGCATTCTTCTGAGACGAACTGATGTCAGTGCGTCAAGCTTTGGGCTGCTACCCGAAAGGTTTCTCCTGTATGTATATAAGAAAATATCCAATCTTCAAGCTTGCATGGATGTTCGTGTTCAGTGTATTTCCACCCGTATTGAGGCAAAATGACCATCATCATCTCTGGTGAAAACCGCTTGATTTCTTCTGACAGTATGGGACATTGGAGCTTTCTGGAGCTTTGCCGTGTGTGTGAACATGACGGGATCTCCCGCCCCCACAGGTTCCTTTTTTGAGGGTCTCATGACCCTTCTGCTCCAACTCCTAATCCAAAAAAAACGCCACGTTCTGGTCCTTCTTATGTGTCCAACCCCTTGGCGTGGTTTCTAGAAGGATAGAGAAGGACGTGGTTTCGCCCTTCGTTTCGATTTCGTGCCGAGAGAGGCGAAGGAAAGCCTAGCTTCCCTGAACTTTGCGCGGCAAGAGGCGCGGCACTCGCTTCGCCTCGCACGACTCGTGGAGCCAGCGTTCGAAGCGTTCGCGAAGCCGAGAGACGCCGTTCGGAACCACCTCCGTTGAGCGTTCGGTGGTTGGAGTGAGGTTTGGAGGGTCCCACCCACCGAACCTGACGAGATGGGCCAGGAGCCCTCTGGACAGGGCAAATGGAAAAAAAAAACGCGTGCACGAACTGTTTGGCTCCAGGGTGAACTGTTGGGCTCCGCTTGGGAAAGATGGAGCCAAGCGGACGCTTGGCTCCCGCCCGAATTGTTGGCTCCTGTTTTGGGGCTCAAACTGATCCGTGATCAAAATGGATCAAACACACCAACCAGGAGTCACGTTCGACGGGGTGCCGGTTCCGAACGAAGGAAGGAGGTAGTCGGTGCCCCTGACCATCACGGCCCCCGGATGGGACGTATACCAATGCACCGATGCTTTGGGCCATCTCCATCCCTTTCTCGACCTCGAGGCACGGGCACCGGCCGGGTCCAGATGGCAAGACCTTCACTGAAACACAGGTCCGAGCCTTGCTGAAACCATGCTTGGTTTTCTCACCGAAAGGCAGTGATCGATTCTCTCAGGTGTTTGATGATACTGATACTGTATTTTTTAAAATTGCATGTATCTAGTTTATAATCATGTATATATAATAGGATATTATAGGATAGTTCCAAAAGAAAGCTTGGTGTGACGGAACCCTCCACAAACAACCCTCTCCAGGTCTCGGGTCTTCATGATTTCCCTTCGAGGCATCCATCCTTGGAAAGCGTTCTGCAGACCATCCAATGGTCCATGGGCATGGTTACATAATACGGTGGTTTCAGGGGTGGATAGTGTGGGTAGCTAGGACCGGCAAAAACAGCTCGCACAATGGGACCGACCGACCTACAACAAGACAAGGTTCCCCCGAGCTGGAACGCCCCAACCTGCAGCCATGCAACATCCAACCCGCCACGCAGTGCTGTTCCGGTGGAGTTCCGCTGGAGGCTTTGTTCCTCCAGAGCTTCACGGCAGATTCCATGGAAGTTGAAGAAGACTTCACAACTCCACAGGAGAACCGGCGGGTTATTTTGGACGACGGCCGGCGGATGTCCTGTTTTTTTTTTCCGGATGTTTGACCAACGTTCCGGGGCTTCCTTGGTGTTCTTAGTGCCGCTTCTATGATCCGTATAGGCTTTTTGGAGCAGTGGTCAAGACTCTAGTTTTTCATAAATGCATGCCAGCTGCGACTAGGTGCTTCACCTCCACCCCAGAACCCTTCTTTCACGCATGTGAGCTATCCCATCAGTTCTTCGTCCTTCGGAATCAACCTTCACATCGGTCCTGACAGCGTCGCCAGGTGGAAGTGGGTGGCTCTGCACCCTCACGGCCAGGCGAACCACGAGCACGATTCGGTCTTGTCTGGGGAGGTGGGCTTCTCCTGGTTTGGGGGCCAAGTGGATGTCGATGTGTTTCCGAAAATATCCATTATAGGATATTATAGGTGACAATTGAATACATGTGAATACCCTGGCATAGGGGAAGAATGGGGAAGATGTTTTGCTCTTGTTCCGGCTACAAATCAGGCCTTCTGCAGAAAAAGTAAGTGGATCACCTTTAAGAGCTTTTGGGGGAGAAATTGGCGGCGCCCCACTCAAAATGAAGTGGAAAGTGTTGTTCACCCTTATTTCATCTTATTTCCATCAACATCTCCGGCTCGGGAATCCGTCTCAAGAATGCTTCGTCGATTCGCACGGGAATTCGCCTGGGCTTTTTCATGAGAGCATGTTCTCCATGGTCTTTTGCACCCCGCAGCGCAGTGTTTTGGCCTCGAGACTCTCCGACCGACCTTGCTGGGTGGAACGTTCGACGCAATTGGGACAGAGCACATGGCGCACTTCAGCGACTGTGGAAAGCATTGCTCTGATCCTTACTGCAAGCAGAAGGTCGGGAATGATGTTTGTTGAAAGTGTGGACATGCGTGCCAAGTCAGAGATACTGTATCTTTTATCCTTGTTTGATGATGTGAAGCAAAGTAATTAAGCCAAAACAGTGTTGGGCCGAAATTGAGTTTGCATGCTTGTTGGTGAAGCTCGGTTGTGGATGCTCAAGTATGCGTAAAAGAACCCATCTCAGGGATATATAAGCAAGAGGGCAGTCATGGCGTCATGGCTTTGGGTCCAAGAAAGGAGGGCAGCTGAAGTCATTGCCTTTGCAGTATTTCATGATGTTTCATCATCTGGAGGACATGCTTCCTTTCGAATGTGATGCTTGTGGCAAGACCTTCTGTGCTCAGCACTTCAAGTATGACGCTCACCAATGTCCCCATGGCAACACGACCAAGGACACCTGGAATCCCTATCCTTGCGTGCCGAGGTGATGGGAGGTGCATGCATTCTGCAGCGGTTTACAACCAGAAGACACATAGTAATACCCTGGGAGTCAAAGACTATACA